CCCCTTGAAGCTCTTCTTGAACTTCTTGTCGGGCGACGACAGCGCGAGCCTGATAGAGCGTTGGGTAAAGAGATCTAAGTGCGTGTGCGGTGGTGCAAGTGCGTGTGCGTGAACAGAAAGGAGGCCATACGCGCGCTTGTCGTCGGCCGATCGAAAGGAGGCCATGTCGAGACCGACGGGCATAGACGCTCGCACGGTCGGATCGCTCCCGTCGAGGGAGCTCGGCCGTCGTACGTAGTTCTCGGGCACATCGACGCCCAGTTCGAGCTTGAGGTGGACTTCACCGCGCACGGGCTTCTTGTCCCGTCGGGCCAGCGCGTACCACTGATCGAGCGCACGGTGGCGGTGGAGGTGGCCCAGGGGCAGCACCACCTCGCCCTGGAAGTGGTCGTGCAGCGGGCTGTGCTCAAAGCACATCACCTTCAGCTCGACGTCCTTCTTTTTGCGGCCTGGCGGGAACTCACTGCGCGTGCCCAACAACCAGCGGTTAATATTACTTTCTTTGAACCACACGGCCAAGGAGTTAAAAATTTGAACTTGATGATGATCTTTTCAGCTGAGCACAGCAGAGCAGAAGTAAGGATGGCATTGTATGTATAGTGGTGTACGTACAAGTAGAGCTCTTCGTTCCACACGACGTTGGTCTGGCCGCGCTGCACCCGATTGGTGCGAACGTTGAGCAGGATGTCGCTCGTTTTAACGTCCTCGATTACGATTTGGCAGTAGTAGCGCATGGTGCGCAGAGCGTCGGGTCGCAGCCCCAGCGACACGAAGTTGCGGCCCTCGATGGCTGCGTACAAATTAAAGTAAATTAGGGAACAAAAAGGCACAAAAGCTTGGTGATCGTACCAACTACGAGAAGAGCGGGAGACGCCCGCGTCTTGGCAGGGCTGGTGCTCATCAGTCCATTCGATGTTGTTTGAATAAGTGCCATGTTGTTTCTTGGTGGATAGGGCAAGGGGGCGTTGCTGGATGGAGATTTAGATCAAACACTCTGCATCCGAGGCTAAGAGATGCCTGACAGGTTCGAAAGTTATACTGACTGGATCAAGCAAAAATGGATTGAATCGAGAGATGCGCCAGCCGATCGTTCTCCTCTCCGCGAGTTCTCTTTTCGTTTTGCGCCCCGCACCTGTTGGGTGGAAAATCGGAGGAAATGAATTGCGGAAATCCCCCGAGGCTTCTGCCGATCGGACTGAAGCGGGCGAATCACATCCCTGCGAGGGATGTAGCCACAACGGCCTCGGCGAACACCTTGACGCAGCCAGGGACATCTATAACTTGAAGGGGACGCCTATACCTTGAAAGCGAGAGCTGCTCCTTGTGGTCTTCCTATCATCAGCAGCACTGTGCATAGTTCAGACATTTTGCGAAATTTTTCCAAGTAGTTGTAGCCAGTTTCTGGTGTTTGTTTTGGCGCCAATGTTGCACTCTGGCAAAGATGGATCTTCAATCGCTGCTGCTCGATAGCAGCTTGGACCTGGTCACCAAGACAAATGCTGTTGAGGCGGTGCAGGCTTGGGATGTTACTAAGGTCACGGACAATTTCGAGATGCTTTGGAGTGCTCTCAGCGTACGTTAATGCAACGATTTTGACGATTTTTGATCTATTCACGCATCTTTCACATTCAGCAACCCATACTTGATGTGATGGCACCCATGCCGCTTCGATTAGCGGCCTTACAAGCGTCCGCATCGTTGATCAGCGTTTGCACAAACCAAGACATGCTTACGCCGTTCTTTACCACCTTCTCCTTCCACGTATGCTACTTTCATTCGTCATGTATTATTCATTCAGCCCGATAGCACCAAAGGGCTTCTTACACTTTCGATCTCTCACTGCTGCATACACAGGCCAAGACGCTCTACGAGGCGGCTGTAGAACGACTCTCACAGGCCTTTGACCGCACTGCCGTAGCGGCGCCCAGCCCACGCGATCTCTTGGAGCTGCTGGGAGTACCCGTCTCCCCTTCTGCCGAGACAGAACTTACGAGTTGAGCTCAATGCTCTGTCTCTTTCTCACCACGTTGATGCCCTCTTCTTTATTTCTTTCGATAGGAACAAAGGAGGTGCGTGATATTCTTCGAGAGATGTAAGACGGCGATGGAGTCGATGTCCCTCGAGCGCGACGCCATCGTGCTGACCGTCTTCCTCGACCACTTCTTCTCCGTTGTCAACCCCGCCATCTCTCGATCAACCGTATGCCAGCGCCCACATCCACTCACCCACCACCTCTGCTCCTCTCACCCCTCTCGGCTGATCACGCACCACGCGTTCCAGGAGCTCTTGTCCAAGTTGTCCGGCGCTGGCATACAAGGCCCCGAAGCTGCGACACTGACGCAGGAGGCCAACGCCCTGTTCACAAGCGCGCTGACATTGCTGTCTCAGTTCGTCCCCCTCCACCTCAAGATGTTCCCTCCTTCGCCTTCGCTCTCGCAAATGCCGCAACCCTACGACGACCCGGAGCTCCTCTACGGTAAGCTCTCCAATGCGCCAAATAATAATAGTAGTAATAATAGTAATAACAATGCTGATGATAATGATAATAATGTAAGGATAGTAGTTGCTGACCCAATGGGCGCTCATACGTGACTTTGCTCATCCAATCCCCTTTTTGTTCTCATACACAGTCATGCAACAGATCATCGCGATCGGCGACAAGTGTGCCAAGAACGTCAAGGTCCAGACAGCCGTGTGGAAGCTCGTCAGGGAGATCACCCTCATGCACCCCTATCGACTACAGGTTGGATCCACCAGCGCCCTTACAAAACGCTTCCGTTCGGTGTTCTCATTCTGCTTTCTTCTTCTTCTTCTTCTTCCCGCAAGAACCCAGCCCTGCTCAACCGAGTCGTCACGCTGTGCGTCCTGAAGGTGCAGTCAAGTTGGAACGCAGCGATGCCATGCGCGCCGCGCCTGGTGCTGAGTCGTGAGGTATGTGGGCCTGATGAATGCACGAAAGATGCCAAAGTGAGCTCTACCGTACCGTTCCTTTTTTGATCTGTTTTTTCTTGACAAACACCACGAACAGCGCGCCGGCGAGCTGGTGTCCAAGGGCGATGAAAAGGCCTTTGAGAACAAGGTCAAGGCCTGCCGTTTCCTGCTGTCCGTGATGGGCATACTCTCTCGCTCATACGGTATATTGCACACTCTTCTTCCTTCTTCCCTCTTCCTTTATGTCTGTCTCACGGCTGGTTATCGTTGTTAGCGCCGCATTTCGTGCCTCAT